GACCTAGCTGCTAAACTGGCCCCAAGATGAATGGTAAGTGCTCCCTTCCTGACCTTTCATCCGAGGTAAGGTCCCATGTGTGCATTCCTGTGCTGTGGAACTCTCACGGAAACAAAGGACTGGAAACGCATGTCTGTAGGCAAGGTCTTTGTGCCCAAGGTACAAGTGCTTATATCAGGCCTTCTCTCTTGGAAAAGAGGGGATGTATGACCGGATAACCCGATACATCACTGGAGAGTCACAGTATAGCGGGCTGTTGCTGTGTCATTTACACAAAGGACATGGCCTAAGGATAGTCCATGCCCAGTGGACGGGCCCTTTTCTGGAGAGGAAAGGCAAATTAACTTTACTGAGAGTAGAACCAAGCACCAGATGAAGTTTTTATTGGTCCTATTAGATACATTCCTCGGTTGGATAGAGGTTCCCCTTGTCGAACTGAAATGGCAAGGGACTTTACCAAGATATCATTAAAAGCAATAATTTTCAGATTCCCCAAACATGCCTTGAAATGTGAGCGGTGACAATGGATCTCATTTTTATCCTCAGTTGTTCAAGAAGTCTCTCAAATTTTAGGGATAAGGCAGAAATGGCAAGGAGTTGCCAGCGGTTCAGGACAAATTCAGAAGAGGGGAACAAGGGATATCATTGTTGATGTCAGATAGATCTTGGCAGAAATCAGAAAATACCAGAAAGATGTTTACTTGTGTTTTATGGACTGTGCCAACACATTTGACTGTGTGAATCATCATAAACTATGGATATCCTGGAGATGAATGGGAAACCCAGAATACTTCATTGTGCCCATGCGGAATCTGTATATGGATCAAGAGGCAGTTGTGTGAACAGAGGGAATACTGAATGTCTTAGAATATGGAAAAGGTGTGCATCGGGGTTGCAATCTGTCACCATACTTATTCAATCTATAGACTGAGCAAATAATCAAAGAAGTTAGATTATGTGATTTATTCTGAATTATTCAGATTCCTGAAATTGTTATCATAAAGGTGTTTCCAAACACATGGTGATAGTCTTGTAACAGAATAAAACACTGCCCAGACCTACTTTATAATGACATTTATCATGCTTAGTATATTTGAGCCCATTGTTGCCATGATTGCTCCAATTGTCTCGAGGTTTCCCCGTCTTTTCACTGCCCCTTTACCTTATTGAACGTAGTGGCCTTTTCTAGCAACTGAGATTTCCTGATGATGTGTTGTGGTCACTATATAATCTATGGTCAATTTGAGAGGATTAAGATTGAAGGGGTGGAGTTTAGCCTGTCAATCAGGTCGCAGCTTGATGACCCCCTTTGGAGGCACTAAGGAGATAAATAGCTTGCTGGAGGCAGGTCGCTGGCTCACTCCCTGGGAGACGTTGAAGCTGACAAGACAAATGGAGTTATGCTAGTGCCCTGAGCTGGAGGAGCCACGTGGAGATCCCTGCCAGCACTGAGATGCTTCCACCGCCACTGGAGCCACAAGACTTCCCATGCACTGGCCTGTGATCTTCCCTCACTCGGCATCGTTGCATTTATTTTGTGAATCTGAAGAGGACTTATAGATTGGTTTCAGACATATGGGCTAATATCGGACTTATGGACTTGATCTGGACTGGGCTGGGAAGGTTTCTTAATGAACAATTACTCTTTATATGGAGCTATTTCTTATGCACATACGTGTCTCCCTGGATTTGTCTCTCTAGTCAACTGGACTAACACATGTGTTCTGAGCAAATTAACAGCGAAGCTGGACTATATGAAGAAAAATGTGGCATCAGGATTGGAAGCAGGCCGATTAACAACCTAAGATAAGCTGATTGCTTGGTGAAAGGGAGGAGGATTTGAAGCATTTGCTGATGCAAATCAAAGACTGCAACCTTATTATAGATTATAACTCAATACAAAGAAAAGCCCAGATCTTCACAACTGGATCAATAGGTGACATCATGATAAATGGAGAAAAGTTTGAAGTTGCCAATGATTTCATCTTGCTCAGAGCCACAATCAATGCTCTTGGAAGCAGCAGTCAAGAAATCAAACCATGCATTGCAGTGGGCAGACCTGCTGTCCAAGACCTCTTTAAAGTGTTGAAAGCCAAGAATGTTACACTAAGGACTAAGGTGTGCCTGACTAAAGCCATGGTATTTTCCATTGTCTCCTGTGCTGGTGAAAGTTGAACACCGAATAAGGAAGATCAATGGAAAACCAATGCATTTGAACTATGGTGTTGGCCAAGATCGAAAGTACCATGGACGGCCACAATGGGCTCCAGCATAGGAGCAACTGTGAGGATGGCACAAGCCAGGGCAGAGCTTCATTCTGTTGTACAAAAGGTTGCTATGGGTTAGAACCAACTCGACGATACCTAACAACAGCATGGACTACCTGAAGGACAAACCAATCTGCCTTGGAAGAAGGACAGTCAGAATGGTCCTTTGAGACGAGGAGGGCGAGACTTCCTGTCACATCCTTTGGGCATGTTATCAGGAGAGACCAGCCCCTGGAGAAGAACATCACACTTGGTAAAGTGGAAGGGCAGCAAAAAAGGGGATGACTTGTGAAGAGATGGATAGATGTAGTGGCTGCATCAGTGGACTCACACATAAGAGCCACTGTGACGATGGTGCGGGACAGGCAGTCTTTCTTTCTGTTGCATATGGGTCACTATGAATCAGACTGACTCAGTGGTACCTACAAATAACAGATCACCTGGCCTCTCTTCCCAAGGACCTCAGCATGTACTCAAACCTCCCATATTTTGCTTAGCAACAGAGTGAATTAATCATGTGTACCATCCAGATAAAACATGACTAATGGATATCAGGGATAAGAGACCCCCCCCCTCTCCAAAGAGGACCAGGCATGAGGCTTTGTTCTCTGCCCTTGTCTGGGGAGATAGAAAGGTGGAAGCCACCTCATTCTTCCATTGCACTTACTTTCTACCCAGGGTAGAGAGGTGAGCACATGAAAATCCTTACCAAGTTGGTCAGAAATCAAATACCATATATGCTGAGTAGTCGAGTAAACTATAAATTGGGCTTATCTACAGATCGATGTTCTAGGACCCCTGGTGGTGCTGTGGAATAAGCATTGGGTGGCTGCCTGCAAGGTTGGTTATTCAAACTCACCAGCAGGGCCACTGTAGAAAGAATAGGGAGTCTCCTCCCATAAAGATTTATAATCTCTGTAACTCTATAGAGCTCTGGAACTCTGTAGAGCAATTCTACTTGGCCTTATAAGAATTGTTATGAGTTGAAATTAATCGATGACAATGGGTTGTTTTTGTAATAGATTAACTAAGGAACCCTGGCTGTGTGAGTTGGATTAAACTCACTGACTCGTCGGCAGTTTGAAACCACCAGCCACTTTGCGGGTGAGAGACAAGGCAGTCGACTTTTGTAAAGACTTACAGCCATGAAAACTCTGTTGGGCATCCTACGCTGCCCCTAAGGATAGTTATGTGTCTGAATTAACTCAATGGTAGTGGGTGTGTTTTATTTTATCTTCCTTTTTCCATTTTCTCTCCTCTGTTCTCTCTCTGATGCCTTCCTCACTCTACCTCTGGCCCAACTGCATTAAGTAATTTGTACCAATGTGGTATTAATAGCTAATGTGAGATCATTGTTTTCAATCTCATTGTGGAAGCTCTCAGTAGGTCAGCATTTCAAGAGACTACGAATGTTGTCTTACATTGAAGTGGCACACTCTACTCATATATACTATAAAGGAGACAAATTGTTTAAAATCAACTCATACAAAAAGTGAAATGCCAAGCGGCCATCAAGCTCAGAAGCAACAAAGCCCACATGGAAGAAGCACACCAGCCTATGCAACCACGAGGTGTC